AAAAAAAAAAAGAATTTGCACACTCAATCAGCCTCAATATGTGGAGATTGTCTACACAGAGATTATGGGGGAAAGAAACAAAGTTCTAATGTTGCTAGGGATCTAATCATACTCCAGTTCCAAAGGAGATAATAACATATTATACGATCAAGGATAATTTAAAATGCCATTGGATAATTAAGGTAAGGAAAAATTACAGTGTGCTAGAGAGCCACATTTAGTGTCAGGAAAGGCCTTTTCCAGAACAACAAAGGAGAACATGGAAAGCTGCTGATAAAAGGGTTTGAAGCCAGGCGTGGTGGCACACGCCTGCAATCCCAGCACTCAAGAGGCTGAGGCAGGAGGATTACTACAAGTTCGAGGCCAGCTTGAACTACATAGTGAAACTTTGTCTCAAAAATCCGAAACCAGCCGGGCGTGGTGGTACACACATGTGGCGTACACGTGTGGCGCACACACACACCAGGCTTCCCTCAAACAAAACTCCCAAAATATGAGTGTGCTCCAGGTGGCGCCAGGTGTCAGTCTCTTTCCCCCAGCACCTGACACTCCCACGGGCCCAGTATCTGTCCAGCCAGGTTTTGGACGGCTCCCTAGGTTCCCTGGAGGCCCTAGGGTGTCCCAGACTTAGAGCAGACAGAGCTTATCGCTCAGTCCGCCTGGCTCAGCCCTTCCAGGCTGGCTCTCGAAGGAACCGCGTTCCCCCAGGAGCCCAAGCCAGAAATGCGTGTCCCCGCCACCCCTCTGCCCGCGCCAGGGGACTGCGCAGGTCTCTTCCTTCCACCTGAGAAGTGCTTAAAAGGGTGAACATATGTTACTTATGCACACCCCAACCCCAGCGTGATCAGTGTATACCGTGGTCAGGGACTCACAAAAATTAAAAGAATATTGTTATCACAGTAACAGCACTTCTCTTTTACCAGTGTGCTCTCCCATATCCAATTCTTTCAAATTTAGGGATGTTACTGGTTTTTGTTTTTTTCAGACAGGGTCTTGCTATGTATGCAGTTCAGGCTGGCCTTGAACTCACTATGTAGCCCAGGCCGGCCTCAAACTTATGGATCCTCTTGCCTCAGCCTCCTGAGATGATGTTATCATCGAGAAAAAGCTTTAAAAATGGCTCTGAGAGCCGGGCACGGTGGCATATGTTTATAATTCCCACATTCTTGAGGCTGAGGCAGGAGGATCACTGAGGTCAGCTCGGGTTGTCTCAGAACAAGTTTAAATTTAAATATCCATATTACAGTATTACCTTGAAGGTTTACAATGCAAATTGTACTCCTTGGGGCCTTTTACTTGCGCCTTTTTAATTTGGCACAGTTTGCTTGCTTCCTCAGCCATATCCTCCCCTAAACGCTGCATATTCCTTCATACCAGTGATTCTCAAGCAGGAGCGATTACCTCACTCTCAAGAGACACTGGGCAGTGTTCACGTCACTGACCTAACCTCCTCCATACACCTGAGTTCCCGGCCCCAGCGCGTCCACAAGAGCCGTGAGAGGGCTCGCGGCAAACAGCTCCTGATGCAGCAGCGCTGGAGATCAGTGCTGTCGTTGAAGCCCCGGCCTCAGGACGGTGCTCAGCAGCCGCGCTGACTGGCACCCTCTGGGACAGTTTCAGCTGCCACAGCTAGGACAGGAGGAAGGTGTTACTGATAGAGGTGGGCAACGGTGCCACACACCTGCCACGTGCAGGATAAGCCCAGCACAAAATCAGAAACCAGCCTGCTGCCAGGGCCACACACCAAGGTGAGAACATCTGCTCTGTGCGCTGCAGGTCTCTCTTGGACTG